AGAAGGAGAAGGAGAAGGAGAAGGAGAAGGAGAAGGAGAAGGAGAAGAGAAGGAGAAGACTGAAGTAACAAAGAGGGAGAAATCTAGCCAAAGACTTCAGAGTGATAGATGGAATTAAAATTTGACTTTGCTCAGAAGCAAGTCTCATTGGAAACACACTCATTCTTCTCCTTTGAATTCCTGAGACAACAAAAGTCTAAATGCCAAAAGTATTGACTCCATTTTTTGAAGGATTGAGTAACTTTACTAACCTGCTCTCTGAAAATTCGGCAAAATCACTCTGAAGTTCAAACTTGAACAGAACTTCTCCAATTAGATAGCCATTAGAAAATGCCTTTGCAAATGACTTGGGACCTGAATTTTAGACATTGAAATAAAAAAGTAAATACAATGTTATTATTCTGTGACATATACAATCAAACCAGCATAAGCAAACATGACCATACCATGTCTTGACTGTATTTATAGAAACATCTTTTAATAATCAAAGTAAAAGATTTTAAAACTAGACATTAATGTTCCCAAAGGTAAACCAGTAGTTGATAAACAAAATTTTAAAAGAAGTAGAAAGTCGTTTCCAATTAACATTAAACAAAACACAATACAGTTAATAAATAACCTTTAATGTAAAAACAACCATCAAGAAATTCCGTAAAATTCTGCTCTAAATACTTTAGCTATGTCTCCAATCTACAGGGATGTTCACTCTGTCCAATAGAGATGCAGTCTGATTCTTTTAAATACAGATTTAATTTTGACCTCTAAAGTAGCTATTTTACTAAAATCATCTGTACATTTAAAAACCATCTTTCTTGAACACAATGAGGACTTATTTCACCACTGCCCTGTTTTTATGCAATGGAATGATGGTAATATCCCAGAACAGAGAGTTCTCAAAGGAAATTAAAAAAATACTAAGAAATAACCTTAAATGTGTTAAACATTTGTAACAGTTAGTATAATGCAAATGTAACCATTCCACAGTCAGAATCATTAAAATAACAAAACAGCACACAAGCACTATTGCTCCTGCATCAGGAAAGGTGAGCCCCCAGTCACTGTTGAAGAGACTGCAAACTGGGTCAACCACTTTATAAAATGGCATGGACGATCCTCAAAAAACTAGGCATATGTCTACCATATGACCCAGATAAACCACTCCCTGGAGTATTCCTGAAGGACTCCACACACTATTCCAAAGATCCTGGCTCATCAGCTGAGTTCACCCTCATGCTATTCACAGTGGGCTAGGAAATGGAGACCTGCAGCTGATGAATGGATGATGAGAACCTGGTGCACAGAGATGATATTCTATTCAGCGGTAGAGAGAACTGAAACCATGGGATTTGCAGGTAAGTGGATGAAACTGGGAACTATTACACTTGGGTAAGCTGGACCCAGAGAAACAGACGTCGCTTATTCTCTCTTACTCTTTCCTTTAAAATGTCCTCAAGTGTGGGAGCAAAGAGGATGGTAATAAGGGAATGAGGCTCACAGGCCTCACTCAGGGGACTCTACACCACTGTGTTATCACTTCTGACTCCAGCACATAATATTACAATATTACATAAAGATTGATATTTCTTTCTCATAGTACTTAATAGTTCAAATTTTTAGGGTGACTCAATGAGATAGCACTTGTTATTTAAGGCCATTTCATCAAAAGTGACAAGTTTTGCACTTATTAGTGGCCTAGAGTAAGCTTGGCCTTGAGAGACCAGCTTGATCCTTCTTTTACAGCTGTTCACACAGAACATGCTCATTCAATCTGACAGACTATCCTAATCAGTCATACCTGTCCCTATGATATCATCCTTAAGGAATGGACACCTCTCAGGGAATAATTCACAGTTCACAGTACATATTACCTCCGTGAAATAAGCATCTATTTCACAGTCAAGGTACTACCCAGTGTCCTTACTTTAACATGGCACCACTTGAACAGCCAAGAACTCCATGATTATTGGCATGACCTTTCATTAAATGGGTGCCATCTGATAGGATTCTTCGAGAGCTAAAGCTAGTAAAATCCCAAAGGCTTTGTTCACCAATGGACAGAATTGTGTCATTGTCTTCTTCTAACTGTTGTTACTTTCTATGCCCCTGGAGGTCTCCCGACGCACATCAGAGCTATTTCTGGGTCTGGCTGCCATAACTATCCTCAGTGGGTCATTCTATACTGTCAATTACATCTTTGTTTCAGTTTCCTCCCTACTTTCCTTTCTAAGCCATCCCTATTTTCTTACTGTGCTAACCAGCCATTTGATCTAGAGCCCCTGTCAGACTGTAGATATGTCCTTCTTCCAGATCCTAGGTCTTTGGGGGTTGAGTTCAATTTTTAAGCATACTGCTTTCTTTTCAGAAGCTGTTGCTCCATCTACTTCCATGATACTCCTTTCTGTAGCTTACATTATATTTATTTGTGTCAATCCAAAGCCTGGGGTTCATCCCATAAATAACTAGGATACAGATTAATATTGTTCCAACTCCCTTGATATAGCAGATAAATGGTTAGTAGCAAAGGATTTGCTACAAAAAGGATTTACTTAAAAAATAAACTCATAATCCACTTCTTTTGAAATGGCACAAATATTAATTATGCACGTCTGATAGAGTGAAAGTCAAAGGAAGAGTAATCAGTTATTTGTTTGACTGTCAGGATTGTTTATGATAAAAATAATACAACATATTGTTCAGCAGATCTTCATGCATAAAAGTCCACAATTTATTGTGAACTAGATAGGCAAGAAGGATTATACTGAGTAAAATTCCAGCCAATGAGAAGAGCAACAAAGAAGCCTGTAAAAAAATGGAACAGGCAGGAAAGAATGCATGCAAGAAATGAGGCAGAGAAAGGAAGAGGAAAGAAAAGCAGGGACGTTAGAGATATGAAAATTACAAGTAAATACATTGTCCACATATTAACAAGATGCAATAAGTCAAAACAAAAGAAGGCGACAGAAGGGGAGGTTAATTCAGGGAGACACAAAATCATGAAGATAGGAAAAGCGTTTCTCCCCTCTGTTTCCTTGTGTTTTTCGTCCCACTTAATGTCACTAAGTAGTGTGACTAATTCCATAGAAACCATTTCCATAAATCAATGGGCCACCAGCCAACATTTCCTATGTGAAGAAGTGACAAGTTTCCTCCAGGACAATGAACAGTAAATACTATAAGAACTGTGTCAGGGATGCTTTTCATCTTTAACACAGATTATTTTTCATCTGTGGATTGAGGTTGTTTAGCAGGAGCTTGACCTTCACCTCCAACCCGTCAAGCCACAAGCCTGGTCCTCATCACTGAAACTGGCATTTGGCAAAATCTTTAATGTGCTCCTCTGCGACAGAGTTGTCTGTTGGGCTCTAGCAGTAGGTGAAATGGCCATGTGCTTTTCTATCCACTTGGCCCAGAGCTAGATGGTGAAAACACTTAGTTATCTACAGTCCCAAGTGGTAGTGAAGGATTTGGAAGAAGAAGCTTAGTTTTATTACTGATCTGTTTATACACCACTGAATCCTACCTGATTAAGCAGCAATAGTTTTTATGTGTAAAAGAGGAAGATTGAACCTAGTCCATAAAGAATTATGAGAATTAAATGAGGCATTGCATGTGAAGCACGTGGAGCCATGACTGACCCACAATGTGTTCACTGATGGTTTTATTGTCAATATTACACCTTTTTCAGAAGATGGGCCGTGTTAGTTATACAGTCTACTCACTCTGTAATAGACCTTCAATGATGAAGTTATATGCACACTTCCCCAACGAGGATTTCAGTGCTCAGAAAGTAAACAGTGGACACTGCCCTGAAACCCACATGTGAGCTCACTGTTACGGACAGGTAGAATATACTTTGACCATTCTGATCAAGCCTCTATAGCCAGTTAATTTTTACAGAAAGATATTGAATGGTTTGCATTTAATAAAATAAATAAATATTAAGCAGCTCCATAATACTTTCCATCAGCTATTTCAGCACAATACATAAAGGAGACATTTTAGAGAATCCTAGCTTTTTGTAGATATGACTGGAACCCATGCTACTTTGTACACAGTGGTCTTTAGATCCTTGCAATAGGATCAAAGATCTTGTCTACATATCAAGTGCATTTTTGTAAAATCTAACAAATTCACTTTCCTTTGGAATAGATAAAGAGCCCCTTCTGGCAGCTGAGAAATAGCCTGTCTCTAAGAGGTCTTGGCATTCTGTAGAGCCAGCCAGCATACACAGAAGACCTTGGCCTTCTTTCTTGAGCATAGCCAATATCATAGAATACTAAATTTAGATAAGGATGGTTTGTGGATCAAACAGCAAACCTGATCTTAAACAAGCCTTAAAAAAACCCCAATACAAAACAAAACAAAACTCACTTGATCTTATATCTGAGCTCAGCTTAGACAAAAGCAAGAGACTGTCCCAAAACACCAATGGGACCGAACATCCCCTAATATGGTTAGTGAAGGCTCCTTCCTTACTGATCACAGCTCCGCTCTGCTTGCCTCTCCCTGTTGCTATGTATGACATTAAGAAATACATTCAGAGAATTTTCTATTTTTTGGGAGGATTGAACTCAGGGTAAAACACTGTTTTCAAGAACTCTACTCAAAAACACCCCCTAGGAGCCTGAGCTCTTCCTAACAGTAAGAGGTTGCACACTTTCTCACTTTACAACCACTCAACAAAACAAAATTAAACACAAAACAACACAACACAAAACAAAAAAGCTTCATCCAGCTTTAGCTGTGTTCTGTGGCTTTTTTTTTTTAAAATCTGAAGTAAAATCTTAATCCCTAGGTCATTGAAGTTCACTTAAGAAAATACTTGGTGTCATTATTCATGAAACTCTGCTCTTAAAACCTTAGATATGGGTCTGGAGAGATGCTCAGCAGTTAAGAGCTCTTTAAAAGTTCCTGAGTTCAATTCTCAGCAACCACATGCTGGCTCACAACCATATGTAATGGGATCTGATGCCCTCCTCTGGTGTGTCTGAAGATGGCTAGATGGTACTCATATACATAAAAAACAATACAAAAGAAAACAAATAAAATATTAGATCTGGTTCAGAGAATGTTTGCTGGTTTTACACCTACTGATGAATTTCTATTGGAAGGAATCTGTATTTTAATAGAGAAAAATACAGATACGTTGTTTTCTACCAGAAGCAATATGGTTTATAATGATCCTTAAGCTGAAATACCAGAAAATGAGTGATTTCATGACACGGTGTAAGAAGGTTGGGACCTAGAGACAGCCAGTTTAATGTCTTAGCTGCACAACTGCAAACCAAGCTCTAATAAGATATGACTTAGTTTATGTATTAATACACCAAAGAACTAGATAATATCTTGTCTTT